CACAGGAATCGTTTTTTACCCCTCTCTCACGATCTTCATCCTGATGGCACACGGAAAAACATCGATTGCTGATTTAACAATTAATTTGTTCAAAAAGGGTGATAGACATGTTTCAAATGTACATTGTGCAATCGTTGAATAATAATTTAAACAAGCATGTTTTTTTATTGTAAAATCTTCATTGAAACATGTCTGTCACTTTTGTAACAATTTAATTGTTAAATCAGCACTTTCATTTCTTCGATAGCACCAAATAGCACCACGTCGAGTCCGACGTTCAATCTAACTTTCGTATCTAATTTTTTTTTTTTTTTTTTTTTTTTTTTTTTTTTTTTTTTTTTTTTGTGTGTGTGTGTGTGTGTTTCCCACTAGGTTTAAATGTATGTTTGATTATCGTTTGTACGGCAAATGAAGAACGCAAGGCCCTCTGCATGTCTATTTTAGTCAGCAAATGCCAGCTCTAATCACAAATATTGTGTTGGATCAACCGCAGAGTTCGGGTATATTTAAGCAACATTATGTGAGGGGCTCAGATGACAAGGCGTTTTTGACAAATTTGAGATATTAATGATTTCAAGTTTAATTATCTATGAACAATTCGCCCCCGAATTCAAATTTTTAAGCATCAAAAAGTCAGTTTGAATTTTTTTTCCGCCATAAGGATCCATGTAATTTCGAAACTTCAACCACGTATTTCTCAAAATATGAAAAACCGCACTTAAGCGCCTTGTCCCGTAAGCCCCACGTTTGATGATGAGTTGTACAGTCACGGGCGCGGCCAATAACTTTTTTTAGGGGAAGGGGGGGGGGGGTACTTGAAGGACCTTTCACTTTTCGCGGAAGTTTAATTGTATCGAACAACATTATTTGATGAAAACTTGCCAGGGTTGAGAGGCCTCTCCCCCCCCCCTCAAATATTCTCTCGTCTCACCCATGCGGGAATGTAAATCGCGATCCTCTCTCCATCAGAGCGGTGGCTGTTCGTTGAAAAACTAAGGCTATAGAAACTATGAACAGGGTGCGATACACTCCTAAATAAAAAAGTCCCTCAGACCTAAGTTCTATAATGAGGACTTTACAGTCCAGAACTTTTGAGTATTTGCACTAGGCATATCTTTTCCCTTTTTGTCGGTGATATCCCTCTTTAAACCCGTTTAGAGTATGATTGTCCTAACTAAAACTCCCTTGTATCAAACACATGCATTTACATCTGCGATACCAGAGATCCAAGTGAAATCAGGCATGGTTCACGAGCTGTATTCAATTGGCGGTGGCTCGGCAACCTTTTCTTATTTCCATTTTCTTATCCGACTCACGTTCCGTTTGGCAACCCTTCATTTCCGCTGAACCGCCGGTTGTAAATGCTTGTCTTCAATTCATGTCAAGCTTAAAAGCTTACCGGCCATTAATCGTCCTGTCTCATACAAGGTTGCCAAGTATTTTGAGGATCATTTTTTCAAGAATGAGCCATGCTAGGCCCGCTTTAATGAGATTTCAGGGACATGTCTCTCGGAAAGAAATAAACAATTGCTTAAATCGTAGCTGCTGGAAGTGGATCTATCCACTATATTCAACAGGCTGAAAATTATTGAGCCAAAATGTTTCGAATTGTGCAATAACAGAAACCTCTAAGAAGACACATCAGGACGCGAAAATTGTAGAAAAAAAAACTTGTTTATCAGCACGACGCGCAGACTTCAATTTTTTAAAATTGCAAATTGATAGCGTATCTAGGAGAGTAAGAATCGGCCGATTACGTGCTTTTTAGATAGCGGCGAACGCGAGGCAAATTGCGAGTTTTGAGGCGATTTTCAAAGGTGATCTTTTATTTAAAATCTTACTTATCTCATTAATTTAAACAGTGGAAAACGTTGCGCATTTAACGATGGAATTGGAAAGGTTCCTCACAATTTGGAAATCCGCGAAAGTCAGGGACAGTTCGGGAATTCACGGCAAACGGGAACAGTCAAGGAATTCCGTGGGTAGCCCGTCGGTGACTTTTGAAGAAGATGTGAGTGCTTGTTTTCGTTTTTGTCATCTCTGGAAGTGGGAAAGTTGAGCAAGAGTCTGTAAATTTTTCTTTCTCCTTCCATTTTTTTTTTATTTTTAGGAAATTTCGAGGTTCCGCATTACCTTTAAAAAAAATTTTCAGCGTTGGTTCCAAACAAAATCACCACGTCTTGTCGCGCTGCTAAAATCTGGCACAGAAATCAGCGATTATTTTATAATGACAAAACAGGTATTGAATTCTCAAAATCCGAGAGCTCGCACCGCTGAAGCTTTTGACCGGAGCGGTTATAGGAGCATCATACCGTGATTTTTAAAAAAATATCAAGTGGAAGTTTTTTCCAATAATCTATGATCATCAGGGAATTTGAGAAATTTGCAGTCAAGGAAAAGTAAAATTAAGGCTGGGAAGAATCAGGGAAAGTAGCTTGTTTGGAAATGAAAGCGCATAATTTGAGAATCCTGTGTATGGCAGTTTCCAATACTGCCGTGCTAAGGAAAAACGCCGTATGAACATTCGAAAGTTGCCAAATTCTCTCCGATAAAATGTTTGTTTTTGAGGAAAGGTGTGCTTATTTTTCCTTGAAATTTTCAGGAACTTTAAGTGAATCGTGAACAAAATTATCTAAAAAATTGGAAGGAATATATTCATAAGAGTACCAGGAAATTCGTGTTTTATCAAAGGAAATTTGGCAACGCCTGAAGGCTCATACGGCGTTCTTCCTTAGCACGGGCAGAATAGGTAAAAACGTTGCGTTGGATCGCCGGAAGAGGTTAAGAAATTTTGCACCCTTGCCTTTTTTGAATGACCTCCATCGATGAATGTCATTGTAAGCTGGAGCTTCATTGCTTCATGAAATAAGGTCCATTTAATGAGAGACAACGAAGTTTTAATAATCAGTCCACAGGTCAGGATCTATGTCTCGTGTTCCTTCTAATCCAACGGTCCTCGGTCGCGAAACACTCATGCAGGATTCTGCCGCACCATTGATTCCCTTGCCGCAGGGGGCAAAGCTCCATCACTGATTGGCCAGTCAAGCGCTACATTAGCCTGAGCAAAATCGGCTCAAGTCCGAAACCCGCCCTGTGATGCATCGATGATTCGAGTAATGCAAGTTCAAAAACTTAATTCGGCTTGTAGGTAGGCGTGGCATAGCGTCAGATCGTCAATTGAATCAGTGAGAACGAAGACACACCAACTCGGTAACTCGAAAATGCTCAGTTTTCATTAAATGCAGTCAATTTTCATAAAGGTCATTGAAGTTAGCGCATCTGTTCCAGCTTATGCTTTTAAAATGTTTTTAAGTGCTTGTCTTTCGGTACCAAAAATCTTTTTCTTAGGCTAACTTCTTCACCCACTGTGCAGTTTTGTGTGTGTCTTGATTATTTTCATTTTTTCGAATTGGTGTGTTTCCGTTCTCACTGATTCCATTTGTCCCTCGTGCACTTTCTTCCTATTCTGTAGGAAAGAGGTACGACTTCGCCAGGAAATTTGTGAATTTTTCCAGAATTTTATTCGCTCTGAAATCTAACGTATCTGATGATTTTAAAAAAATATCCATAATTTGTCTGAAAAATAAATGTTTTCGGGAAAACTTTGGCAACGTTTATTGTTAACGGTAACGTTTAACGTTAACAGTATTGTTTACGTCATCTGTAACGTCTAACCTTAACGTTTAAGGCGTCCTTCGCAGCAGCACGCGGCGGCAGCTTTGAGACAGAGTGTCAAAACAAGCTTGTATGTCGATTGGCGACGGCGCAGATTTCTAATTACATTTCATTTACTGAAAGTGAAACAAATTAACATATTTCTTTGGAATTTTTACTGACCCGTGCTCCTCTGCTTAAAAATTCATCGTAAAAATTGCTAGCGATTTAAAAGGCATCGATCAATAAACAGGGTGTTCACAACGAACATCTCAATCATCGATTCTAAGCACAGGTTCAAAAGGGGAATATAATAGTGGTTCCTTATTGCAAAACGTAAGCCACAGTCCTATTCTGGATGTGCGTTAGTATCTTCAATATGAGACCTAAAGTACTAAATTATTTACATTTGTTCTCATTTATTTACATTTTTCTTTAATTAAACTAGGTGACGGATCATAATGTCCAAAACAGATTAATGTCCTGAGATAAGAATATTTACACCGTTGAAATTCTCAAGTATCTGGAATATATTAGAGAGAGAGAGGGGGGGGGGGGTGTTGACATGACCGAAAACAAAAATGATCGTTTTTCTTTTTATGTGTGCCATTATAATGTCGTAATTTCCTATTCTGTAGAATTTTTAAGTGCCTTCAACACTCTGCCGATCCAAGGCCATGGAGACAAATCATTCATTTTGAAAGCCAAATACATTGTATAGATAGCTCTGATTATATAGCAGCAATATAATAATTCTGTCAATTAAAACAGCAAAACCAGGCCAGCAGGAATGAGTAAAAAGTCAGAATTTGTTTAAAGAAACCTAAGGAAGATGATGCTTCGCAACTAAATTGCATTCCACTTGCAGAAGAGCAAATAATGAGAGAGACTATTAGAAAATCGATGAAGCAATGAAAAGTCACGAAAAAGGTAAATTACGTTTCTTATATACTTTTTCAAAAAGTAATTGGACTTAAAGTAATTTTCGGTTTGGTCATGCTACCGCTGTTTTTTGGACTCACTGGGCACTCCGACCTTAAAATTTGCAGCGCGCCGGTGCCGTCTGTCGCGTCGCATAGTCAAGGCGCCTTCAATTTTTCGGATGCAACACAGACATCCGCAGAGCGTGAATAGTTGTATCCAAGCGTTATCATCCACGACCCGCGAAATATCCCGTTCCAAAGCCATGGACAGAAATATTTGTAAAGAGTGTTAAGAGGATAATTTCAACATGCGGGGGAAATAAAACTCGCGCGAAGTTTCCAGTCACGGCAATAAGTGCTTGGAACTTCGCACTTTGGCAAATCGAGGTACGTGATTCTGAAGTTTAATCGCATGCACATTACCTGCATGGTATACCAGCACATGTAATAGCTGGCTGAGGTTTGCCACTGGAACTTCTCCAAAGGACCCTGAAAGGGCTTGTTCTTCTTGCGGTCCATTTCGACTAGTCTAAGGCATTCATCATCTGCTTGATTTATAAGATCTCGATTTCCTGGAAGCCGCCATTTGGATGTATGTGCTATTGTGGCGGTATCAGTTTTCCGCTGGAAGGAAATAATGAAAAGAAATAATCAATTGAATTCTTTGATCAAGAAAGTGTAAGAGGGAGGGGTGAGTGGTTCTTTAAATCATGTAATTAGAATTTACCTTTTATGGAAATAGAGGATCAAATGGACTACATTTGACAATTAGGAACTACAATCTCTGGCTCATTTTAGAAATAGTATTGTATTTACCGTTAGTCTCCTTATGCAGATAGGTCTTTTTATGTATGAGCTAGATCTTTTAGTTCACTATTGCAAAAGCAGGGTGTCTACAAGTCTGGAATTTCCGGAAAGTTCGGAAATAGTACTGATTTTTTAAGGGCGGTTCGGAAGTACTGAAAAAGTGGGGAAATTTCGTTAGAAGGTCCGAAATTTTTCATTTTTGTCGCAATTTGAGAGAGAAATTCAAAATGTTTGAAATTTTTCCAATTTCATCAAATGGAGGTACTGAAAAAGTACTGAATTTTTCTGTTGAGGAGGTACTGAATTTCTCGGGAATGTACTGAAAAATCACTGTAAAAGAGCTGATTTTTGGCCAGCCTGTTTTAATAGACACCCTGCAAAAGGCAGTCCAAATGTGATGAAACTGGTTCTAAGTCCCTCAAAAATAGTCTAAAGCATGGAATAAAATGAAGCTCTACCATTAAAATTCGAATTTAAATCGGAGTTTGAAATTTCAATCGTTTCAGCCGCAAACTTTAAAAAATTGTAGCGTTCAATGAAACAAGACGTGCATTGCGGATCACTACCTTTCAAATACCTCTTTGATTTCAAGTTGAAAGAATCCTGAAAAAATCAGCATACGAGTACGCTATCCAACGTGGTCCATAGGAGGCAGTTAGCAGAGTTATTAGGTATCAAAAGTGAAAAAAGTGTATGACGATGAAGAGAAAGGGAGAACGAGGAGAGTTGATGGGGGTGAAGGTCGCACAAAAGCGCGATGGATGAGGGATAGCTCTCTAATAATAGCCCGAGTCAATTTAAGGGGGCATAATCTATTGAATCATTAGCACCCTAAAAGCTACCGATCGTGATAACATTAAAGCCTGTTTTCATGAAATACCGATAGACGCAAGCTCCGTCATCGAAAAGGCAATCTTTTCATACCGCAGCCCTGCATCCTTATAGTTGTAGTGTTCTTTCTTATTTGATTTGTTATTCAGTTATTACGTTTTCATTGAGTTTAAGCGCTTGAAATTGAGTGGTTTTGACAATTGACGGGAGCGATAGCACGGAGGTCAAAAAGAATAGAGATCCTTGTGGCAGTTAGCAGGCTTTCAACGACTTCTAAATGATTTTCTTAGACAAACTAGGAGGCGTAACCCCTTGAACGTTTCGCGGTCCAAACTCTCCCCTCCTCCCTCCTGCCTGAAGTGCTTTGCGTCTCGCCGCATGCCGTGCTAAGGAAGAACGCCGTATGAACATTCGAGAGTTGCCAAATTTCCTTCGACAAAATGTTTATTTTTGAAGAGAGTTATGAATATTTTTCCTTTAAATTTTCAGAATCTTTAGGAGAGATTAAGGACGAAATTATCTGAAAAATTGGGAGGAAAATATTTATAAGTTTACCTGGAAATTCGCGTTTTATTAAATGACATTTGGCAACGCCTGAAGGTTCATACGGCGTTTTTCCTTAGCAAGGCAACTAAGGCGTTATGCGTTACGCGTAACTCTTTTGATTTCACGTTCTGGAGTAAGACTAGCTCCAATAAACAAGTCCGAAAGGGGTTGTATACACGCGTCGTTTTGAATTAACTGATTTTTATCAGCCAAAAGGATGAAAAAAAAAATATCACAAAATCGAGATACATGCTGCAATTGACACAAGGACGAAAACAACACATCACGTAAGTCTTTTTGACACTGACCGATTCATAAACACTGGGAAAAGTGTCTCTTGGATTCTGAGTCCAGACTTTTAAAAAATTTGATAAGAAAAAATACTCTTGATTCAATTGGATTTCTGCTTGAATCAAAAGAAAATCCGCTTAAATTAAGAGGGCTGGCTCTGAATTTAAGCAAAAATCCGAACGAATCAAGAGTAATTTTTGTGAAATTTTCTAAGAGTCTGGATTCTGGATCCATGAGATTTTTTCTCATAGTGCCTACGTTTTTTCACATAGTGCCGAAAAGAAAATGGCTCTTGTGATATTTCGGCCAGAATGCTAAAGTGTTTCTCGTCGAAATCTCAAAGTCAGATTTTTTGATCCACCTCGACCAAAATCGTTGTACTGAAAATTTTGCTTTGTACATGAGCTTCACTAGAAAAGAAGTCTCTTGGAATCAGAGTCCAGACTCATGAAAAATTTGACAAAGAAAAATACTTTTGATTCAATCGGATTTTTGCTTGAATCAAAAGAAAATCCGTTGTGATTAAGAGGCCGGGGTCTTGATTCAAGCACAAATCCGCGCGAATCAAGAGTATGTTTTTCTTATGTCGAATTTTTTAAGTGTCTGGACTTTGGTCCAAGAGACTTTTATTCCAGTGTAACACCCTTTACACTTGGAAAAAGTCGTTTGGATCTAGAGTCTAGACTTTTAATAACATCGAGAAGAAAAAATGCTCTTGATTCAATCCGATTTTTCCTTGAATCAAGACCCCGGCCTCTTAATTACAGCGGATTTCCTTTTGATTCAAGCAAAAAGTCCGATTGAATCGAGCGTATTTTTCTCGTCAATTTTTTCAAGGGTCCAGTCTCAAGATCCAAGCGCCTTTTTTCCAGCGTACGGAAACAGCACTCAATCCTCATTAACCGAAATAGATTCTCAAGTAAATCAGGAGAAATAGAATAAATTGGTCAATGAGACGGCTTCACTTTTCTCGAGGCATTGTCCTCCGACGAGCGGCAGATTAATGGCATGAAAAATACTCTTAATTCATCATTTCGTATTTTCCCGTCGGTCCGCCTTTGTTCGGCCCCGTTCCGAAAGTTCGGGTGAATAGCGCCGCGGCCGCGCGTTTACAAAGTCAAAGGCCGGATTTAGCCGATGCTTCGCAACTCCCTCGACTACGGCTTTCGTCCGGGCCCCGAATCTCCGAGCTATTAATGAGGGCAAGGAGGGCAGAAACCCTGGAACACCCAACTTCCCAACTTTGCATGAAATGAAAAGTGGGAAGAGGCGTACGTCGTGCGTCGCGACGGCCGACGAGACGAACTCACTCTACGCTCTCTACGCGTAGCATATACTGCCAGCCTAAGGAAGAACACCGTATGAACATTCGAGAGTTGCCAAATTTCCATCTATAAAATGCTCATCTCGGAGGACAGTTATGAATATATTTCCTTTACATTTTTAGAATATTTAGGTAAAATTGTGAACTAACTTATCTAAAAAATTGTGAGGAAAATATTCATAAATTTACCAGGAAATTTGCGTTTTATGAAAGAAAATTTGGCAACGCCTGAATTTTCACACGGCGTTTTTCCTTAGCACGACAGTACTGACGGGCTAAGCAGAGACGCTGTATGAGCCCTCGGGCGTTGCCGAATTTCCTCGGAAAAATGACTAATTTTCAGGAAAATTTGTGAGAATTTCCCTTCAAAGAGCCATGCATAAAAAGGGCCAAAAACGGCCCATTTTTGGGCCCTCGAAATTGGGGTCAAAGTGAGGTTTTTTTTCATCCTTAGGGTGACCCTTTACACATACTAAAATTTCAGATTGAGTATACGCACCGTTTTCGAGTTATGGGGGGGCAAAGTCCCCGATTTTCACCCATTTTTGCAGGTGTTTTAATGTCGAACTCCGGCTGTTACGAGGTACCAGATTTAGATATTGAAGCGCGGTTTGCGGTGATTTGTTCACCTATTCCTGTAGTATTTTTCCACATCTTTCACAAAGCCCCAAATGGTTTTTCGGGGGGCGGGGAGGGGGGCTTTATTCATACTATCATGACCGTTAGCGCATCTTACTGACTTTACTTTGTTCTCTTCTCTCCACGCCGCAGTCACGATGGTGTTTTCTGTTGGGGATTTTCCTTCTTCTTCACATTTTACCAATTTTCATGTCCTCCCCCTCTTTTCCCTTTTTACCCCCTCCCCCTCAATCCAAACACTTCCTCTCAAGCGCTTCTTCCTGTAAGGCAGATATGACGGGGTCATATGTGGGGGATTATTTTTCTTTCTTTACGATTGATAAACTTTGACCCAACTTACTTCTCCCTTACATACAGGGCCCTCCTTACCCCTGTATTATCCCTGCCCCCTGCCCGCTCCACTTTACTTGAAGTATTTTGCTCCCTCCGCAGCAGAAATGACGATGTTTCCTGTGAAGAATTGTTTCTTATTCATATTTTTCTCGTTTCTCTTTCCACTTCTATGTTTGATTTATTCTTTCCTAGGTACATTCTCTTTCACTTTCTCGTCGCGTGACCATATTACTCCCACAAAAAAGTAGTAAGAAAAAAGAAAAGTGAAAAGTAAAGAGAACGAGGCAAAAGAGGGACAAACAAGAGGGTAAGGGGAAGAGGAAGAAGAGGGGGAATAATTAATAGAGAAGAGGAGGAGGGTGGCTCCCATGTATTCAGAATTTCAGTACCTAAACATAAGTAAAACATTCTTTGCCAGAAACATCGTCATTTCTGCTGCGGAGGGAGCAAAATACTTCAAGTAAAGTGGAGCGGGCAGGGGGCAGGGATAATACAGGGGTAAGGAGGGCCCTGTATGTAAGGGAGAAGTAAGTTGGGTCAAAGTTTATCAATCGTAAAGAAAGAAAAATAATCCCCCACATATGACCCCGTCATATCTGCCTTACAGGAAGAAGCGCTTGAGAGGAAGTGTTTGGATTGAGGGGGAGGGGGTAAAAAGGGAAAAGAGGGGGAGGACATGAAAATTGGTAAAATGTGAAGAAGAAGGAAAATCCCCAACAGAAAACACCATCGTGACTGCGGCGTGGAGAGAAGAGAACAAAGTAAAGTCAGTAAGATGCGCTAACGGTCATGATAGTATGAATAAAGCCCCCCTCCCCGCCCCCCGAAAAACCATTTGGGGCTTTGTGAAAGATGTGGAAAAATACTACAGGAATAGGTGAACAAATCACCGCAAACCGCGCTTCAATATCTAAATCTGGTACCTCGTAACAGCCGGAGTTCGACATTAAAACACCTGCAAAAATGGGTGAAAATCGGGGACTTTGCCCCCCCATAACTCGAAAACGGTGCGTATACTCAATCTGAAATTTTAGTATGTGTAAAGGGTCACCCTAAGGATGAAAAAAAACCTCACTTCGACCCCAATTTCGAGGGCCCAAAAATGGGCCACTTTGTGCGTGGCTCTTTACCGGATAATTTTGTTCGTAAGTTGATCCAAATAGTGTGAAAATTTCAAGGAAAAATGTTCACAACTTTCCTCGAAATTAAACATTTTATTTAAGGAAATTTGGCAACTCTCGAATGTTCATACGGCGTTTTTCCTTAGGACGGCAGCATACTTGACCGCGCGCCACGACTCGTAAAATTCAAATCGCGCTTCGTAATTTTTTCACTCAACGCCTTCCTTCGCCCAATCTCTTGCCCTCGTAAAATCACAATGGATCTGACCTCTGAGCCCGTGCTCTCATTCTGACAATAAGTCTTCACACTAAGAGAAAAAATAACGCAAAAGTTCTGTCAATATGGGACATGGAGCCCATTGTGGCCCCAGCCCTTGGTCAATTGAGGCGTTTTTCGGTGAAAGGGCGTATGAGACTTCCAATTCTGCTAAGATTGAGCAACGCACCGCCGTGCTAAGGAAGGACGCTGTATGAGCTTTAAGACGTCGTCAAGTTTTTTCCGATAAAAACCCGAATTATTGGGAAAATTGTGATTATTATTTTTCCAAATTTTTAGAAAATTTTGTACGCACTTTAATCTAAAGTATCTGAAAATTTCAAGGAAAAATATGCCTGAATGTCGTCAAAAATACGTGTCATAACAAGAGAAATTTGGCAACTCTCGAATGCTCATACGGCGTTCTTCCTTAGCGCGGCAGCGTAATTCTCTAGTTGTGAGTAACTTATCCGACAGCTCTGGTATGAATTGTTCCCTGAACCTACTCCGAGTTCTTCCTCACCATTGTAAGGAAGTAAGTAGACTGTGAATGAATTTCATCTGCCCCAAACGCTATAAAAATTGCACAATTTTAGCAGCATTCCAAGCCTCATACGCTTTTTTACCGAGAAAGTCCTCAATTTTGGGGTTTCCCAGTTCTTCCATAGATTTCTGAGCTAACTTCATAGTAAAATTAATTAAATTCAAAGTAACTTCAAAATCGAAATCAACACAAACTTCAGGTCGGTTTAAGGTTTACGCCTTTCATTAATCGGCAAGCCGATGAATTGGTTGAACTTACCAGGTGATAAGTTTCATTGATTTTTTCGTTCAAGTACTTCAAACACTTCAAAAAGCCGGTGGAGCAATGAGTGTATACTTCCCAATGAAACTGCCGAAGTGGTGGATTAGGAAAAGCTGTGAAAAATCCGTACGTTACGTTTTTCATGTCTTCTGTAAAATATCTGAAATTTAATTTTGAATTGTTCGTTTTTTTTTTTAGAAGAAAAAAAAGTAGTAAAATTGCATTGCCAATAAATTTTTGAAGTGACTGCCCATCGATTCACAGTAAATTAGGGTTTGAATTTAAACATTGACATTGAATCTCATGACACAGATGAATTTTAAAGTCACGGACAACTTGATTTGAGTGCTCCATATACTATGTGCTCTATGTGCTCTGTTTTCTAAATTCACCGGTTTTTCTTTATGGCAATTTTTGCTAAATTTCAATTTTTAATGCTATTCCACTCTATTCAATTTATTGCTTTTATTTTTTTTTCTTTTTAAATTGTAATTAGATCCAGACCCAAATTTTAGTCAAGTAGTATTGGTGTCATTAAGGTATGTTTTAGGACCCTTGAGACCCCGTATATCTTTGTATAAGAATTAAACCAATAAATAAATAGATAGATAAATTAATAAATAAATTTATAGTTGCGGAATTGTTTGCTCCTTCGTTTTTAGGTGGTTGCGTACTTTCAAAAAGAGAGATGACGAAAAATGTCAGTAACAGCGTTAGAATAATTTCTTTTCCTGTGCTGCCAAATATTTAAAAAAATCACATGTTAAGAGAGGTAATATAGACGCACCTCCTGTCAAAAGAGTTGAACTTGTAGTGTCTCAAATTGAAGGCTACGTTTTTCACTGCTTCGTCAATCCACTCTCCGGCCAAAGCGTCATCGGGGCTGAATTCCGTCGGATCATTTTGCCCATAATCAATGATCTGTCCTTGAGAGATCTCCTCCAATATGATGTCATCCGTATTCTCCGTACTCAGCTCCGTATTCTCCGTACGCAGCTTTGTATTCTCAGTGCTCAGCTCCGTATTCTCGGAACTTAGCTCCGTATTCTCGGAACTCAGCTCCGTATTCTCCGTATTCAGCTCCGTCTTCTCCGTACTCAGTTCTGTATTCTCCGCACTCAGCTCCGTATTCTCCGTACTCAGCTCGGCATTCTCTGTAGTCAGCTCCGCATTCACTGTTCCCAGCTCCGTATTCTCCATCGACTTCCCATCCGAACGAAAACAGTTTCTTTCTCCAGCAATGATTATCCCAATTACAGGTATAATATTTATTTGCCAGGGACCGCGCATTTATCCGATATGTTTATTAGTGAGTAACTAACCTGAAAGAGAAAGAAAGCCAGATTCATGATATCTTCCTTCTGTTTTTGTATAGGAAAGTTCGACTGTTAGTGGGTCAGCTGCGCTGGTCACAGAATCTCGTTTTGATGCTTGATTCTTGTAGATTAGCTAAACATATTAAAATCCGTCCAAATCTCAACTCGCTACATTCAATATTTACCGAGATATCGCCCTTGGAAAAGTCGGGTTTCTGACGTCATCCACCACGGCAGTGATACCCTTGGTTTCTTCCACCTTGGTTTTATCAGTCAGGGAGACACACACATTAGCATTGGGTACTCTACGTGAAACGCGGATGAAAGGAAGGTGGAAGAAACCAAGGGAGTCACTACCGGGGTGGATGACGTCAAAAACCCGACTTTTCAAAGGGCGATATCTCGGTTCATATTGAATGCAGAGAGTTGCGGTTTGAACGGATTTTAAATATATCTATCTAATCTACGAGAATCAAGCATTAAAACACAATTCTGTGACCAGCGCAACTGACATAATCTGCCCATGACCGTCACATTGGTAATTTTCAGACATTTTGGAAAATTTTAAAGGCAAAAACGTTAATGTGCAGTAAAGCCTGATGGTAAAACTCCGTGAAGAGGCTAGATACCATTTTTCAGAAAATTTTAATTTTAAAAGTGATAGGGAATAACCGAGCTGACCGTGCGTTGAGATTCTCCCCTGATGTTGCGCGCCTACTTTCATATTCTTAGTCATTGATTTTTATCGTTTAACGCCACCAGAGAGAGGAAAAAATGAGGGAGTCAAAGGTAACAATATTGTCAATTCTCCGTCTCGCCGCCACATCAAATCATTCAGATCCCGTCGCCGCAGGAATAACAAAATGCAAAGGCGGAAACAGTAATTTAATTTCCGGAGCCTATCACCTGCGCGAAGAAGTGGGTTAGAAGTGCTCTTATTTCCGATCCACCGGAATTTATGGGCATTCCACCCTAGGACTTCATTTCCAAAACGCGTTGCCACGTCGCTACACTCCCGCAACGTCAAGTCTGCGAAAGATGTCGAATCCCATCGCTAAAATTGCCTTGGGGATGAAAATCTTTTAAAAATTTAGAATTTTCAGTTTTTTTATCCGAGTCAAATTTTCTTCTCAGTAAGTACTCTTGGTTCACTCACCTACATTTATTTCCAATCGACCTACTTCATGTTTTATCGCGCGTAAAGAGTTTTTTTTCTCGCAAGTATATGTGAACTATTACATCACTAAAACATGTGGATTTTTCTAAAGCAAATGCTGATCGGACCGCGTTAAGCAGACAGGAACGAAGCCACATCAGCAATCGCCAAATTCAATTGGGCAATTCAATTTTTTCACATAAAGACGGTGATACTGTTTTTATTGCCAATTTCAGTGAATTTTTTGCATAGTACGCTGCAAATTCCTTAAAATTTTCAAAGGAATCCGCACAAACGTTCTCTTGTAAATAATCAAATTGCTCGGTTGGTTTTTGGCAATAGCTGATGTGGCTTGGTTCTTAGCCGTTAGACACGGTCCAATTTACTCTAGAATTGTTCACTATACTCGCTCTTTCATATTTATGGACTTCTAGGTTTTCTCTTCTCCTTTTTTTACCTTAATTTGACTCTCAAAATCTATTCATACGTCTGTATCTCCTGTGTGTATTAGACCTATTCGAATATTTTACTCACCCTGATCAACTGCGCCACACTAACAATGCTATCCTTGTCCAGTAAAAATACAGTTTTACCGAGACGTTAAAATACAATTTATTCATATATTTTAATTTTTTCCCAAGTGGCGCTGATGCTATAAGGCCTTTAATGCTGTCATGGCATAATTTATGAAAGAGCTTTTCAGGCACATTTTAAATCAAAAGACAACAAGACCCTTTAGAGCTTTACAAACCAAGCCAACTGACCTAGTTTTGTTTGTTAAATCGGGGAGATTTTTAAATAACCAAATCTTTAAATGTAATAAAATGATTTAACTCAAGCTAAATTATCCAGTTATGAAATAAAATAAGTTAAGGGTTAACAGCGTAAAAGTTTTAAGAAGATCTTACAATTTAACGAATTATTAGGGGCACAGCGTCGATAAAAGCTCAGTTCAGGTGATAAAAAGCCGGTCACTGTCAGCGTATAATTGGCAACAATGAATACGGCTTAAGAATATCAATTTCGTCTTGATTTCCTTTTAAAACGCTCAGTTAACTGTCTTAGGTATCAGTTTCCCCTGCGGTAATTGTGCATACTATGCCGGGGCTTATGAATCTCACCGTTTTGATGCCCAATCAAATCTCATCAGCTATATTATCCGAATGATGCGGATTATCCGAGGTAAGAGGTTAAATGACTTTAATTGTTCCTTCTAATTCGCTCTCTTCTTTATTCATTCATCAACACATCAGGGCCGGATTTAGGGGGTGACCATATGGGCCGGGGCCCTTGGCGACAAATTTAGGGGGCGGCAAATTTTGCAATTTTTTTAAATATAGGTATAGAAAAAAATCGGATTCAGAAAAAAAGTTACAAACGAGAAAATGGGACAAAATCTCTCATTTCCTGAGAGTGTAGAAATTTCTAATTTCGCCGTCTTTCGGTGATACAAGAGACAGCACTTTTATAATTAGTCGAGTTAAAAGAGAAATCCAACACGCAATTCGGCCTGGAGCGGCGCGGCGCATAGAGCAATGATGACGAGGACTTGAGATGAAAAGGAGTAGCCCTCGGTGCGGCGGTTGGCATGTAACACATATTAGCGCCTACCAGACGGCATGGATACTTCACGCATTGCGTCAAATACTGTGCAGTCAGCGCGAAACGCATAGCGCCTACAAGGCTGCGTGAATACTTCACGCATTGCGTCAAACGCAGTGCGGTCAGCAGCGGTCGGCTTGAAACGCATAGCGCCTCCAAGACTGTAGGAATACTTCACGCATTGCGCAGCGTGGCGGCGGAAGTTGAAATTATTAAACCACATTTATGTTTGTTCTTGCATAATTTTTACGTTCATTTCTTCCTAATGGAAGGCCTTGTTCAGTGTTCACACAGAGATGGGTTTACGGAACTTAATTCTCGCGCAGAGTTCCTGGAACTTTTGCTAGTAGTGTTAACACGGCTTTCGCAAAAAATATGTCCGACACGAGTAAACCAGTCTTATGTACTTCTCCCTCTCCGACACGTTCAATTAATGGTTTTTATTGATGTTTCAAAACGAATGAGAAGGGGGCGGAAAAAGACAGGTGGCCCATGGGCGGCAAGCAGGTAAATACGGCCCTGCGACACATGTGTCCTTTTTCCGTCTATTTTATAGATGTAAAAGCTTTATTCATCAAGATAAAGTAGAGACTTAAATGGAGAGAGCCAAGACACGTTAAATCTATGCCCAATTGGTTACCGTTTCATCGTCTTTGATTTGCCCTCATCTTATCATAACCCCTCATGAAGATTACATTTTTGAAGGTTACAAAGATAATGATGTGGAATGGATCCAGAGAATTTTCTGCACAGAACGAAGTAAATTCCGTAAAATTTTCAATTAAATCCACTCAAACGCTCTCTCGCAAAGACTTCAATTGCCCAGTTAAATTTGGCAATAGCTGATGTGGCTTGGTTCCTTTCTGCTCAACGCGGTTCAATTGAACTGCATTTTGCAATTTTGAACTATAAATTCTGGCTCTTTTGGAAAAACACTTATGTGCATAGGGAAACTAATGGCACATACGTTGTTTTTAAACCGGGCTAGAATCTACAGGTCCAAATTGCAAAATGCAGTCCAATTGATCTCCTGCGGCAGCGGTCATCCTATAATAGTTTTAAAGGCCGCT